TATGAACCTGGGAAAGTGGCTGATGATGGGGCAAAAGCTTGAATATATGGCACCCATGTGGGAGAACCAGATGGAGTTCCTGGCCCATGGCTTTGGTCTAGCCTGACCCCAGCTATTACAGCTATTTGAGGGAATGTACCAGCAGATGGATAATATTTCTTTTTTATTTATATTATTTACTTACATATTTTTATCTAGGAATATTTTATTTAAGGTAAACAAACTTCATGCATTTCATATATACAACTTTAGGAACATAGTGATTCTTCAAACCCTTCCCTCCCTCCCACCCACAGTACCACCCATCATTTTCCTCTCTGTCTTCTTCCCATTCTTATTTTTTGCTAAGACCTATTTTCAATTAACTTTATTCACATAATATTAACTCTAAGTGAAGAGTTCAACAAATAGTATGAAAAGAACAAAAACTGTTCCTCAACAGTTGAGACAAGGGCTTTTCAAACTCACCATATCTCAAAGTGTCAATTTCACTTCTATAGATTACCTTTAAAGCATTCTATTAGTTACCACAGATCAGGGAGAACATATTGTATTTGTCCTTTTGGGATTTGCTTATTTCACTAAGTATAATGTTTTTCAGTTCCATCCATTTTGTTGCATTTGACAGAATTTTCATTTCATTTCTTTTTTTTTTTAGTTCTGTGTTGTATTCCATGGTGTTCCTATACCATAATGTCTTTATCCAGTCTTGGATTGATAGGCATTTGTGTTGATTCTATATCTTAGCTATTGTGAATTGAGCAGCAGTAAACATGGTGGTACAGATACCTCTTTAATATGCTGATTTCATTTCCATTGGGTAAATTCCTGGGAGAGGGATGGCTGGGTCATATCATAGGTCTATATTCAGATTTCTGTAGTATCTCCATACTATCTTTGTCAGTGACTGGACCAGTTTACATTCCCACCAACAGTGGTTAAGGGTACCTTTTCTCCACATCCTCGCCAGCATTTGTCGCTTGTTGATTTCTGTATGAAACCCACCCTAAATGGGGTGAAATGGAACCTCATTGTGGTTTTGATTTGCATTTCCCTGATTGCTGATTTTATGTATCTGGTGGCCATTTAGATTTCCTCTTTTGAAAAAGTCTATTCACGTCCTTTGCCCATTTCTTAGCTGAGTTGTTTGTTTTGTTGTTGTTGAGTTTCTTGATCTCTTTATTCTGGATATTAATCTTTTATCAGTTGCATGGTTTATAAATATTTTCTCCCATTCTGTCAGTTGCCTGTTCACTTTACTGTTGTTTTGCAGTTCAGGAGTGTCTCACTTTGATGTAATTCTATTTGTCAAATTTGGCTTTGATTGACTGTGCTTCTGGGGTCTTTTCCAAAAAGTCTTTGCCTAGGCCAATGTCTTGCAAGATATCCCAAATATTCTGTAATAATTTGATGGCATCATGTCTTAGATTTAGGTCAAAGATCAATTTTGAGTGGACTTTTGCATAAGATGTAAGGTAGGGGTCTTGTTTCGTACTTCTGAATGTGGAGTTTGCAGTTCTTACAGAACCATTTCTTGAGGATACTGTCATTGGTCCAGGGATTGATTTTAGTTACTTTGTCAAAGATAAGTTGGGGATAGATGCATGGATTGATTTCTGGAGTTTTGTAATCTGTTCCCTTGGTCAAGCTACCTGGTGTTCTTTGTCAGTACCAGGCTATTTTGATTATAACTGCCCTATAGCATATCTTGAAATCTAACATTGTGATGCTTCCAGCTTTGTTTTTGTTGTAGAAATTGTTTTAGCTATTTGGGGTCTCCTATGTTTACATGTGAATTTCATCATCATTTTTTCTAGATCTGAGCAGAATGTCCTAAATCTGACAGGAATGGCTTTTGGTAGTATAGACATTTTGATGATACTGATTCTTCCATTCCATGAACAACGATGATTTTTTTTCCATTTTTTAGGATCTTCTTCTATTCCTTTCTTTAATGTTTTATAATTTTCATCATAGAGATTTTTATATCCTTGGTTATATGTATTCCAAGGTATTTTTGTACTTATTTTGAAAAGAAGTGGTATTAGATTTTCATTCTCAGCCATGGTGTTTTCTGTGTATACAAAGTCTATTGATTTGTGTGCATTAATTGTATATTCTGACATGAAACCACTTTCATGAGTACCAATAGTCTCTTAGTGAAGTCTTTTGGATTCTCTCTATACAGAATCATCTTATCTGTAAACAGGGACAGTTTTATTTCTTCCTTCCCAATTTGCACCCCTTGGATTTCTTTTTCTTCCCTAATGGCTCTGTCTAAAACTTCCAGGAGTGTATTGATAGTAATGGTGAGATTGTGCATCTTTTTCTGGTTCTGGATCTTAGTGGAAATGCTTCCAACATTTTCACATTCAATAAAATGCTATCCACAGGCTTAAAATACATTACTTTGATTGTGTTGAGGAATGTTCCATATTTACCCAACTTGCTTAAGGTTTTCATCATGAAAGGATGCTGTATTTTATCAAATACTTTCTCTGTAGAAATTGAGGTAACCATATGGTTTTGGTCCTTCAATTTGCTAATGTGATATATCACATTTATTGACTTGTGAGTGATTAATCACCCCTGCATAATAGGAATTAATCCCTCTTGGTCTGGTTGAGCGATCTTTCTGATGTGTTGTTAGGTTCTATTGGCTATAATTTCATTGATTTTTGCATCAATGTTCATTAAGGAAATTGGTCTATAGTTCTCTTATTCTGTGTCTTTTTTTCTTGTTTTGGAATTAAGGTGATGCTAGCTTCATAGATGGAGTTTGGGAAGATCCCCTCCAATTCTGTTATTTTGAATAGATTAAGTGGATTTAGATCTTTAAATGTTTGGTTGACTTAGCAGTAAATCCATCTGACCTGAGCTTTTCTTTGTTGGGAGGGTCTTAATCACTGAATTTCCTTCTTGGTTATTAATCTGTTTAGGTTTTCTATGTTTTCATGACTCAATTTGGGTAGGTTGTATCTGTCCAAGAATCTATTCTTCAACAATTCCCCACCCCCCCCTTTTTTTTTGCCAAACAGCTCTTTGTAGTAATTCTTGAGGATTCTTTTTATTTCTGTGGTATATGTTGTTACATTTCCATTTTCATTTCTGGTTTTATTAGTTTGGGCTTCTTTTTTTTTTTTTTGGTTAGTTGGGCCAGTAGCATTTCAACTTTGTTTATTTTTTTTTTTTCGAAAAAGCATCTCTTCATTTTGTGAACTTTTGTTTTTTTTGTTTCAATTTTGTATTTATTTGATTTATTTTATATCTTTTCTCCTATGAATTTGGTGTTTGATTTGTTGTTTTTCAAGGTCCCTGAGATGCATCAGTAACTCATTTATTTGGTGCCTTTCAAATTTCTTGATGTAGGCAGCCATTGCTAATCACTTCCCTCTTAACACTGTCTTTGCTCTTTCCCATAAGTTGTGATAGGATGTAATATTGATTTCATTGGTTTCCGGAAGTTTTCTTGAGTTCTCCTTTGATTTTCCCTATGACCCACTGTTATGTAGTTCAGTCTTAATGTGTTTGCATATGTTCTAGTTATTCTTCAGTTGTTGATTTCCAGCTTCCTTCTATTGTGGTCTGAGAAAATGCAAGGTATGATTTTTTTTAATCTGCTGAGACTTGCTTTATGACCTAGCATGTGATCTATTCTAGAGAAAATTCCATCCACTTGGGCCATCCTCTATGATTTTTCCAGATCATAGCAGAGAGCTGTATTGGAAGTGAAGCAGCCGAGACTTGAACTGGTGCCCAAATGGGATGCTGGTATTTCAGGTGGTGGCTTTACCTGCTACACTACTGAGCCAGCCCCACTGAATAAACTAAATATTTTAAAAAATAAAATTTATGATTTAGAATGTTGCATACTTGAAAATTGCTGTGAGGACATAAATGTTCTCATCATAGACAAGTATGTGAGGAGATGAATGTGCTAATTTAATCGATCTATCCATTTCAGAAAGTGCTGCTGGTTTGCTCCCAAATGGCCACAATGGTCAGGGTTGGATCAGGCCAAAGTCAGGAGACTGGAGTTTCCTCCATGTCACTCACATGGGAGGCTGGGTGCAGGAACTTGAGCCATCTTCTTCTGCCTTCCCAGGAGCATTAGTGGAGCATCCTTGTTAGGAACTGTGCCCATATGGGATACTGGCACTTTAGGCTATGGCTTAACTCACTGTGCCATAGCTCTGGCCTCTGAAGAGTGTTTATCACTCTTCTCTATTCTGTTGAGGAACAGTAGTTTTTCTACTTAATACTTGTTGAATTCTTCATTTAGTGAAGGTTTACCCTTGTGATTATAAAGTAATTTGAAGGCATGTTATTATAACAATTAAAAGCTAAATAAGAAAATAAAGGAGGAGAGAGGTGGGAGTGAAAGACAGAGATAGGAGGGAAGTATCATTATACTCATAAAACTGTATGTATGAGATACGTGAAATTTGTTCACCAGATACAAAACCTGCTGTGTATTTAAAATTGTTTTCATAAAGCAGTATATATGAAATTCATGAACTCTTTATAAGTTGTCATATTGTGGTTGGACATTTTTTCTGAAAGTGATTAATCTTTAAATGTGCTGGGAAATGCAAATGTGATAAATAAGCCATTTATGTGAGCTTTTAGTTTTAACTGACTGGAAGTCAGGCTGTGTTTACAGTTTACAGTAATAGTAAGCAGCAGAGGATAAAGTTTCCTCTAGTGACCTTGCTTTTGTCTCCTCATTATTTAGTGCATGTCTTTGATATCCTTTAGCCCATCAGTGCCTTATACAAAGGCCTCAGCTGAATGCCACATTTAACATGGAGCAGCTCTGTGGTAGTAGTAAGGTGTGGGGAGGTTGAAGTGACCCTTAGTCCTATGTTTAGATCTCAGCTACTTGCTGAGCTTGTGTCCTTGGGTTGTAACCTTCACCTGTGCTTTTCAGTGTTGTTTTGCTTTTTCATTGGGATGAGGAAGAGGGGAGAGAGGTCAAGTTGCTATTTCCCACCACACAGGTTCATGCAATGGGAGAACAAATAGAAGACCAGGATACATTCTGGAGTCAGAGGAGAGAATTGAGTGTCAGAGAAATTGACTGGACTGCCTGAGGTGTTGGTAAGTGTGACCCATCTGAAAGATGCAGGCTTTAAGCATATTGTTCATGTTTATGGTAGGTGATAGCATTCTCATATTAAGGAATCATATTAAGGATGAGAAGGCCCATCATAGATGAATTGTGAGTTAAACCAGATCTGCTAGATGCTAAGAGGCAAGTCAGGGAATGCACTCAATCATGCTTGATCTCAAAAGTGTGTCTCCAGAGCCTCTTCTCTGCTTCTTGTGAAATGTAGTTCCTCTGAAGAAGGGAGTCATCACAAGTTTCTGGAGTAGCCAAGCAACTGAAAATTTTAATATTTCTTTTATGGAATTCCAAAGAGTGGCTGGGATTTGGACAAACCTAATTGAATGAGGATGTTTTTGGAAGAGATGTATTTATTAGTGTTGGTAATAGAAGAAAGAACAATAACACTAGATGCTTGATATTTTTATGTGTTTAATTTCTGTTGAAGATAAAATTATTTGAGATTATAGAATTTTCCATGTGAAATAGTTCCTACTGCTAGCAGGGAAGTTAGGCAAAGATAGTTTCACAAGAATGTAGAAGTTTAACAGGAATTTCATTGAAATAGGGTACTTTTTTATTAGATTTAAAATATTATGCAATAAAGAATCTTTTTCATAAACACATTTTACATGCATAGTGCCAGATAATGTACAGTTGCTTCTAATATATTGGCATAATGTGATTTTGTTGAATGTTCCTCAATATCAGAAATTGCTTTTATCTCCTTCTAGTTAACTTACAGAAAAATTTTGAAAATATCAATAATGTCATGATGTAGTATACTGAAGCTGTAAAAATGTCTTTGGAAAAAAGTATCATTCTCCTTTTGATTTTTATGTTATTTTGTTGCTCTCTGAATCATTTATACCTCATAATTTGATTATTTTGCTATTGCTTCTTGCAATCAAGTTTCTTTTTATATAATCTATCAAAGAAAAGTCTTGAATATAAAATAAGGTTCTTTTTATTTGATATTTGAGTCAAACAATTTAAGATAGATTTTGGTCAACATTTGAATTAATATTTTAATTATGTTCCTTTATTCCATACACATAAATATTAGTGAATCAAAGAAACAATATCAAAATTCAGACACAAAAGGAGTCTCTTTGATGGAAAGCTGAAATTTAAACCAAGATTCCTTTATTAACACATTAGGAGCCTGTGCTGTGGCATGGTGGGTAGGGGCATTGCCTGTGGTGCAGGCATTCCATGTGGGTGCTGGCTCATGTCCCGGCTGCTCCTCTTCTGGTCCAGCTCTCTGCTATGGCCAGAGAAAGTAGTAGATGGCCCAGATCCTAGGACCCCTGCACCCATATGGGAGACCCAGAGGAGGATCCTGGCTCCTGGCTTTGGATCAGCACAGCTCAGGCCATTGCAGCCATTTGAGGAGTGAGCCAGTGGTTGGTACACCTTTCTTTCTCTCTCTCTCTGCCTCTGCCTCTCTGTAACTCTGCCTTTCAAGTAAATGAATAAATCTTTTTTTTAAATGCAATAAATCCTAGAAGCTGATGTAAAAACCAAAGAATGACTCAGTGATTCAATGTGCTTTCTTAAAGGATGATGAAAAAAAGCTTGAAGATGCTGATGATATAGGAAATAACCTCATTGAAATTACTCATGGTCAGATGAGTATAAAAGAGATCAGCATGCAGAGCATCAGGATGTGGTAAGTGATTGGAGGTTACATTTTGTCATAATTTGGCTCTTGACACTTTTTATGTCTTGGGTGGAGTGAGGTGAACAGTCTCTCATGGCAGTAAAAGTGTGGGAGTTTGAACTTTCTTGCTGAAGCTGCTCAAGTGCTGTACTAATTCTACAATGAATTTATAAATTCATTGAACCAGGAAGTATGATTTATTATCTTAACATTCAGCACTGCATGCCAGCCTGCATACATAAACTGAAAATATGTGTGTAAGGAAGAGGATATCAAGCCAAGTAGAGCAGTCCCAACCTCTCCTAATACAGAATAGGAACTTCTCAATGTGAACTGAGATGTTAAGTTTATTTTCTTTGTTTTTCATGCCTTTAGGGAAAGTTCACTTGAATCATTTGACTTGGACCATTTTCTGCCTTTGTTACTTTGCCCATCATTTAGCCATCTATCCCTTTACATCCTAAGTGGGAATATTGAAGACACACTGAATGATCATGCCTCAAGGTGGTTTCTTTTATTGTTGATCCTCATTTCTTACATGCTTGACATTTCTCCTATTCCTAACCTGCATCAACTTCTTTCCCCTCAGATAGAAAGGTATCAAGGGATATGTTTCATTGACCTTTTATCTTTTCAGCTTATTACTGAGTGTCTCTATGGAAATTGTAGTCATGTTTTGTTTCTTTCCTGTGTGCAGATATTGGGAAAAAAAATGTTCAGAGACATGAATGGCATGCTTTCAATGAACACATCAGGACATTGAGATGTAAACTACCTATACTTACTATAGGATTCCCATTGTATACTTTAGATTTGAAGCAGAACAGTATGTTATATTGTAGAAAGTCAAAATTGTGTGATATTTACATGGAGTTTTCTTCTGGGAATTAAGTCATTAATGTGAATGTTTGACACTAGTCACTCACATATCATGGGAGTGAATTTGAAGTCTGAAGGCAAGGAGGTTTAGAAGAAAAAGCTCAGCTAAATATCAAGAGGGAGGAGCTCACAAAAGTTACTGCTCTTGATGACATAAATCAGAGAACCAAAAAGATTACTTCGCTTTCAAGTTTTTAAAATATATGTATTCTAGTAGAAAATACGTAAAGTACAATTAACCAACCATTTTAACAAAAAGCAATTTTAAACATTCACAATATTGTACAACCATAACTTCTTGAACATCTCATCTTTCTCTTAATAATTTGAGATATAAATGAAGTGGAGGAAGATAAGCAGAGAACCTGAACTGCAGTGTATGGAAACTGGAAGAAGGTATGTTGTTTTTAGGGTAGAAAGCCCATTATGGAAAACATGAGTTTTTGCTGAGAAGCAGAATGGCTTTCTGTCTCTAGGATCCTCACCCTTCTCCTCTACTTATCCTAACCAAGTGTTTAGCTACAAATTGACACACAAACATAATAGCTTTATTCTTTACAACAACTAAAAAGAAACCGAGAATACAAATATAATATATTGAGTTCTGTGATAGCCAAACAAGAAGCTGAATTCAAATTAGTGGAGACGAGTGTGACTGTTCTTTATGAAAATTATATAGAAAGAGGGGCTGGTGCCATGGCTCACTTGGTTAATCCTCTGCCTGCAGTGCCAGCATCCCATATGGGCATTGAATTCTAATCCCAGTTGCTCCTCTTCCAGTCCAGCTCTCTACTGTTTCCCAGGAGGGCAGTGGAGGATGGCCCAAGTGCTTGGGCCCTGCACCCACATGGGAGAACAGGAGGAAGCACCTGGCTCCTGGCTTTGGATCAGCAGCCATCTGGGGGGTGAACCAACAGAAGGAAGACTTTTCTCTCTGTCTGTAACTCTACCTGTCAAATAAATAAAAAAAATAAAACTATACAGAAAGAAAGATGGTCAAGGAAGGGTAAGTTGTTTCTCTATTCACTGATACCAGCACATTATATGAAGCATGTGTTGTTCAAACTAGGCTCCTGCAATTACTTTATAAGGGTTTCTACAAAAACCAGTGTGAATTCAGTTAAAAACAGACTTTTTTTAGTTTTCTTGCTTTGATTTCTGTAACTTGCTTTGCTGTTTCAATCATAAAGCTTTTGATACTTATTTGTGCATCTTGGAGACTGGAAGAGCATCATTAACTTCATTGTAGAGAGCTGGCAAGGAACCATCTGGAGCTGCTAGAGAAGGAGAGGCAGCTGTCAGAAAGCAGAGGATCTGAAACTGGTGAAGGAGAAATGTTGAAACCAAGTGGATTCATAGACTGAACACCCAGTGCTCCAGGTATCAGTGTTGGATTCTGTTTAACTCTGAATAATGCTTAGGCCTGATTAACAGAGAAATGTAAACAAATGATCTGAAGACACACGGAGAGAAAGAACTCACATCAGGAAAAACACAGCAAGTGAAATTATACTAACTGCTAGAAGATGTTGGTTATTAAACACATGCTGATCCCTAACACCAGCTGAATGTTGCTGGGGGTGGTGATTTTTGCCATTGTCCTTAGGAAGGCAGTTCTCTGTAAGACAGGTGACATCCATAACACATGATTGTGTCATTCTATGAATCCAGTTGTTGCCACTCTTGAGAAATAGTGCAATATCAGGAAAAGAACAGGACTTTATGAGAAAAGATATTCAAGGTAGGATCAACTAGGAAGATAGTGAAAACGAGTAAGGGGATGGCATCAACTCAGAACCCTGCAGGTTTATACTCTGGATAAGGAAATGGTACAGCAACAGCATAAATTCCACTGTGTCTTTAGAATCAAGATACTTGATCTGTGTGAATGTATTGTGTACATGTGTGAGGATAATGGTCACATGGGCACATGATGTGAAATCATAGTAAAAACTGTTCTTCATCTGACGAAAGTGAATCTCAATCCCAGGAGGAAAACTCAAGAACTGCAGGGACATCAGGAGCAACAGCGGTCCATTGTCAGAGACCAGGTAATCTGCATTCTGCCCAGTCATCGCAGAGTCCTTCAGCCCCTTTGCAGATGATTACAATCCCCCTTAGGATCCATCAGTTTCCATTTTATGATGTGTTCCCTTCTTCAGGTGGCTGTTTGTGAAAAGGCTCACTCCACTCTCCGCCTCTCTAGCTGTACTTTTTTGGGGAAAAAAAGAGAGAAAGTCAATCTAGAGGGTTTTTTTTTTCTTCTTTTTAATTTGTGGTGTGTTAATACCACCTCTTTGCTGGGAATGGCGGAGGAAGGCCCCCTATCGTGCAGCCTAGGGCAGTGATACTGAAGTCTCCTAAATGTAAGTTAGCATCTCCAATAGGCTTCTCGCCTATGTGGCACACCCACCCTTGTCTTGTAACTGCCTGACCACATGTTTGTTTCAGAGAAGATCCCAGGTATCTGACTGTTGACTAGGTGTTGGCCTAAGGTGCTTGTTAGGTGAAAAACTAGGCTCAAACTCAATCTAAAATTTAAAGAGTTATAATAATCTCACACATAAAAATGACAGGATAATGACTCTTGTGCTAATTTGGTTCAGCTGTAACTGGATAATATAAATCTAAAATATATGGCCATAGAAAGTGGTGTTTTGCAGCAACACTGCCTGTCTTTCCTAAATGAAAAATGACCATTTAATAGATTTCAGGTTGATAACACTGATTTCCAGTTAGAGGCATTTAATAAAAAATGAAATTCCATATAAATGTAATTCTAATTTTAATACAGTGTATGATATAGTATCAGCATTGTAGGTCATCTATGTGTAATTGCAAAATGTAAATAGAATGAACATAAATGAGATAAATGTGTCTAAATATAAACTTAAATACCCTTAAAACTTAATATTTTATGAAAAATTTTGAATTTGTTGACAAATAAGTTTTCATAAACTGCCTACAAATAAAATAATAAAAGACTGCTTAGATGTAAGGTTGTAATTCAGAATGCTCTTTTATATTAAAATGTTATCTTTATTTTGAGATTTTTAAAGGATTATTTCAATGTAAATCAAGAAAATCAAACAGAAAAAAAAGTCTCCAAGATAAAAATGAGTTTCTTAGTGAAATAGGTTAAGAGACAGACTTTAAAAATAATAATAAAGAAAAAATAGGGCTTGTAATAATTACTTTGACTAATTTTTACAATTAATGGCTATTTTAGACTAAAATGAGAAAAAAGGTTTAAGTAAGTTGCAATGGGTGTATATAAGTCATAAAAGTTTATAAAACAAATAGAATTTTTTGGATATAAAAGCTATCCATCTATTTTTCTGTGATATAAAATTAAAGATTATAGCAGTGATTAAATCTGATCTGTATTCATGATGATAAGTGATCCTGGTTCAATCTGATATTTAAACTTTGACATCATTAACATTCAAAAACTCAAAAGTTTTTCTTTGGAATCTGATAGTTCCAGTTAGCCCCTTGGAACTGTCAAAGGATATATTTCTCATCTAGTATGGATACCAACTAATCAGCCTTTTTAGATCCTATTAAAAGTACTGTCAAGATGTAAAATGGTACTAAACATTAAGTCAGAGTTACACAGACAGAGACAGAGAGGCAGAGAGAGAGAGGTCTTGCATCCACTGGTTCACTCCCCAATTGGCTGCAATGGCCAGAGCTGGGCCAATCCAAAGCCAGGAGCCAGGAGCTTCTTCCAGGTCTCCCATGAGGGTCCAGGGGCCCAAGCACTTGGGCCACCTTGTACTGCTTTCCAAGGCCATAGCAGAGAGCTAGATTGGAAGTGGAGCAGCTGGGTATCAAACTGGTGCTGATATGGGATGCTGGCACTGTAAGAAGCAGCTTTACTCATTGTGCCACACTGCCAGCCACAATGGTACTAAACTTTAAGTCATGCTAATATAAAATGTACTGAAACAAATGTCCACAGTTAGAAAATCTAATGCTCTTGTTGTGTTGTTATGTCATAAAGGTTATCTTAATAAAAAGGCTTGAAGACCTAAAAGAGATAAATGTTTTACAAAATCCTACAATTGCCTTCTAAAATACTATGTAAACAGGTGCCTTGTTTCAATTACATTCTCTTACTAAGAAGTTTCAAGCCTCCAAAAGAAAACAAGACTGCTCATAAAAATTGAAATATTGTTGATTCTGTGTTTAAATATTTCCTCTTCTAGGACCCAAAGAACATCTTTGCATGATTTCTGTTACATCCAGTATTTTGGGACAGCTCCATAAACAGATAATACTAAAGTTTAACAATAAACTACAGGTGCCAACTAAAAGGATATGGTTAGTTTAGGATACTAGGAACAAAAGATAATTCTAATCAATAAATGATAATTTTAAAAACAGTTAACTGGGACTGGCACTGTGGCATAGCATCTGGATCCTCCTCCTGTGGTGCCGGCACCCCATATGGGCACTGATTTGATCCCTGACTGCTCTACTTCCAATCCAGCTCTCTGCTATGGCCTGGGAAAGCAGTAGAAGATGGTCCAAGTGCTTGGGCCCCTGCACCCACATGGGAGACCCAGAAGAATCTCCTGGCTCCTGGCCAGCCCAGCTCCAGTCATTGTGGCCAATTAGAGAGTGAACCAGAGGATGGAAGAACTTTCTCTGTCTCTCCCTCTCTCTGTCTGTAACTCTACCTCTCAAATAAACAAATCTTTTTAAAAAAATTTTTAAAAACAGTTAAAAAACTGTTACTAAAATTGCTTTCTGTTTCAGTCTTTTTTATTCTTTTTCTTTTTCTTTTTTTTATTCAACAGGTAGAGTTAGACAGTAAGAGAGAGAGAGACAGAGAGAAAGATCTTCCTTCCATTGGTTCACTCCCCAAATGGCCACCATGGCCAGCGCTGTGCCAATCCGAAGCCAGGAGCCAGGTGCTTCCTCCTGGTCTCCCATGCAGGTGCAGGTGTCCAAGCACTTGGGCCAACCTCCACTGCCTTCCCACAGCAGAGAGCTGGACCAGAAGAGGAGCAACTGGTAATAGAACCTGGCATCCATATGGGATGCCAGTGCTGCAGGCAGAGGATTAACCAAGTGAGCCATAGCACCGGCCCCTGTTTCAGTCTTATAATGTATGTTATACATACATGTGTGTAGGTTGCATGTCTATGTATAAAAACTTAGTAACAAATGTTTTTATTAGCTTGTGGAGCAAATATAAAGACAGGTAGTGAGACAACTAATAGCTGTTTTACACTATGTTCTGCCATTAGAGAGACCCTAGGAGGCAGTCCAGCCCAAATATCATTAGGTTTCCATACGGAAAGCCAAGAAATCAGGTAAACAGGCATCCTGACTAAAGCCAGCCTCTAAAAAATTCTGTTAAGAGTTGGTTGAGTGGAACTTCCCTGGGGCTGAAGGGATTCAGATTAGAATGAGACCATGCTGGCTCCAAGCTGAAAAAGCCCTTTACTCTGCCCAGCTTCCAAGATAACCACCACTGCAGAGGGGAAGGCTGTCGCTCCCCATCTTCGTGGAGGAACGACACAGGACCCTGCGCTGTTCTTTCATCTGCTCGGCCCTTCCCGGGTTTGCTGCTGGTTCTTCCCGGGTTGGCTACTATCCCTTCCACCTCCGTGGAAGGGCAGTTCCCCCTGGCCACATTCCCCACTTCCGCAGGGGAGTGGCACACCGCCGGCCGGCTCTCTCGGGGGCTGCACAGGTGTTCCCCTTAGATGTTCCTCTTAGATGTTGCTGGTGCATGCCGTCTCTCTCCTCCTTTATAGTCCTCCTCCGCCAATCCCAACTCGGCTGCCCACACGCCGAGTACGCTGCTCTCCAATCAGGAGCAAGTCCTACAGTTTATTGGCTGAACTGGAGGCAGCTGCGTAGAAGCTGTTTTCTCCTCTCCCAGCGCCATATTGTGGGAGAGCAGATGCATAGAATAAGTCTTAATTCCAGTAACAGTATAGTCTGAGTTGCTCCCCACAGAAGGCCTAGGTTCAGTATAGACGGGACTGTGATCTTCGTCTTGGATATGCTGCCTGTTCTACACTAACCTCCTGTTCAAGCCAGCTCTTCTCACAGGCAGGCTAGGTAATGAGAGTCAACAGGTGTCTTCCCTAAAGAGGTTCGCATCTTCCTTATGATGTTTCTTCCTGTATCCCATATAAACAGATAGGTCTGAGCCTCACATAAACCTGGCCAGGCCTACATGCCTCTCTCAGTGAGAAAACCTCTCATGGTTTAGGTAACACATTTCCTAGATATTCTAATAATGATTCCATCTTCTTGTTTTAGATCCTGTTGCATTTAATTTGCTTGTTAGATCTGTTTCCTCCAGACTTAACAAAGTTACAAAGGGGAGGAAAAAGGCCTCTATTGTTAAAGGGCCTTCAAACACATAAAGCAAACACCTAAAACAAGAGACTATTGCTTCATCCACCTCCACTACCGTCAAGATGGATGAGATAGCTCCCTGGATCCACCACAGCAGAGAGAAGCTGGGGTCTGAAACTGAATGCAACTCAAATAAAGCAACAGCCTACAAACTGCGCATGTGAAACAAGCGAGTCAGCCATGAAGAGATCACCAGAGACGGTGACTACAGAGGAACTCCAGAGGACGACAGCTTTGCCTCCGATACCCCGGATGCTGACTGATTTACACATGGCCAAAGCTTGAGGAATCTGCCACATGATACAATAAATGGGCTGATCCTTTCTTTTTTGCCTCATTATATTTTAAAATTTTATCTAAGCAATTGTTGAATACAAATAGATAATGAGGACAAGATCATAAAAAATTACTGATCAAATAAAAAAGGTCACTCATAATCTGATTGAGACCTAGAAAGTTTAAAACTCTAAAGACTTGTTTGAAGGATTTTTTTAAACTTTTAGTGGATACAAATCTCTAATAGGTGCTGTGATTATAGTGTCGGGGGCTTGTCTGACTTTTCCTTGTCTTGTGCCCTTGTTTATGAAACTGTCTCTAGCTTCATAAAGACTCTGGTCAAAAACAAACAAAACAAAGCAGCTACACATGTCATAATTCTGTAAAAACCTAAGTCCTCAGATAAGGATGATGCTGTCTGACCCAAAAGGGTTCTGAGTTTCAAAGGAGGAATGCAGCAGAGGCCTTTGTCTTTTGCTTAAGCTTGTTTCTGAGAGGATTAAAGTCATGGTAGAAGCCTTCTCAAGGTCAGAAGAAGAAAAGGGGAGACATCTGTCCTGGGATTGAAATGTAGTTGTTATCTGCTTACCTATGAAGGCTTCAACTGCAGTCCTCATCTGCTTATATGTAACCATCTCTGCTCCTTAGTACAGAGCAATGATGTTAACCCTTGCCAGACAGCTTACAGCTCAGTACGTGTATAAAACAAAAATTTCAGTTAATTACCTGGCATGCATGTGCAGTATTGCATGAATCTGGTGGGTTCCATGTAACATTAGAATATCCAATCAAATGGATGCAGATAATCTTATAAGGGAGGCAAAGAGGCTAAAACCATTCATAAGGGAAAACCCTTCTTTGTTCAGGGATCAGGATTTTGAATAAGAAATTCCACCTGGGCCTTATGCTGGTGTATTGAAAGACTACTTCCTGTAAGAGGCCTTGGTGTCTCAGTATAGGAATCCTCCTACCACACCTCTGTCTGCATTCAGCCTCCTAAGGATACCCTCTGACAGCTGTATATCAGATAAGGGGATTATTCCCCATGTCCCTGTTGTCACAACCCCTGTTACTCATTTTTCAGGGGAACTCCTCAGTTCCTCCACTTTGTCACCTGTGAAGTGAGGATCCTATTGATTTCTGAGGACAGTGTGAGGAAGAGGAAACTAAGTTCATGGGAAAAGGATCCTGCAAGTGCACATCTAGGGCACTCACTCTTCTCACTACTCACATGAAAATGTCTTTGGATAAGGTCATCAAAATCTATCCACTGATGTACAGTCAATAAATCTTGGTGTAATAGCACATGCTGAGAAACTTGCAGTCTCTACTTTGAAAGATAAGGCAAAATTCCCCTCTTTACAGAAGACAAAAAGGAGATGGGACATAATAATGGCTCATGAAAACAACTCTAGGACTCTTTTGTTTCCAGAAGAACAATTTTGAAAGTGGAATAGAAATGTCAGCCATCCAAAATATGCTGTGGCTGTTTTACACCTTGAGTCCAGGTCAAATCTTCATTTTCTGTGTATGATTTTCCCAATCCATGCTGCCTGTCTATTTTACCTTAGAATTTCTGCTAACAAATTTTGAGTTCCTCTCCTTATGTCAGTGCTTTCTTTGTGCAAGTCCACATGATCCTCCTGGGTGTGTACAATGTGATTCTCATTCACAGGCAGAACCTGGTGCTGCAGATAGAAGCATGAGTGCCCTTTCTGGTGGTACTGACCATGAGAGATATGAAGGAGCCTTATGGGCATGGGAAAAGCTAATATCTAATTATGGTGGTCATTGTACTAATTTATTCTTTAATGGTCACTGAACACCTGGAGTCTCACACAGATGCCTTTGGTCAGACAGGTTTCTTTCCTCACAAGGTGGCTGATAGGGATTGTGCCTATTAAGAAAACATGAGCTAAAAGCACCCATATTATGGACAGAGAAATACAGAATAAAACTACAGCAAAACATATCTTTTACCCTTAAGTAAACAAAATAATTTGAAAATACTGTTGGCATACCTCAGAATCATAGACTCTCCTATGCATTGCTACTGAGCATGTATATGTAATTTGTCCAACCCTTCTGAGAAGTAATTCATTAAAACAACATTGACATAGCAATGCTGCAAAACAAGGTGAATATTGGCAACATTTGGGCAAAGGAAGAAGAGAATGTCCTTGTGGATAAGGCACCACTAGAATGGCACATTGAGTAAAGAATTGCCTTAATTTTCAGTGCCAGAACTCAAAGCCTTGTTTATATTTTAAAAATTTTGTTGATTCTATTGTTTGAAAAAAGAGGAGAGAGAAAGAATATTTTCCACTTAGCTGGATCACTCCCCAAATGCCTGCAATATCCAGAGAATATCCAGAGCAGGCCAAGCTGAAGCTACAAGCCTGGAACTCAACTTGAGTCTCCCATACACGTAACAGTGACTCAAGAACTTGCTCCATCATTGCTGCCCCTCAAAGTGTGCATTGGAAGGAAGATGGAATCAGAAACAGAGCTGGGAGGAGACCAGGCTCTCCAAGAATACAGGATATGGAATTCCCAATGTGTCCTGACTGCAGCAGCAAACACCTGCACACTACATAGGTTCCTGTAGGCTGTGATACCTGCTCAGATTCTCGTGTATTTTTTATTTTTTATAGCCTTGGGAAGTTGAAGGAAGTTGATCAGGTACTTTGGCGAAATATCTGTCTTCTATATTAGGAACAGGGTGAAGTTTTTTTTTTTTTTTAAGAATTGGACAAGGTTGTGCATTTTTAGAAGTTAAGGCTTCAGATAAATTGCCTTTCTCAACCCTTGATATCATGAGAATGAGGGTACTTCAAAATTTGTGGAAAATGAATTTAGTACATGTTTATTTCAGTATAAAAATGTTTGAAATCCACAATATGAGAGGTCTTCAAAAAGTGTACAAAAATGCATATTTTGAAAATACTGCATTTAAAACCAAAAATTAATGTATCTGTTAATTCCATGAATTTTGTAAAGTGTCCTCAAGATGATGCTAGGGTGAATATCTCTATCTTTCTGCATGTGTGTGTCTCAAAAATTAATTTAATCTAATTTAACTAATTTAGTCTCCCATCTGTCCTAAATGCTTGCAACAGCTGAGACTATCCTAGGCTGAATTCTGGAATCCACAACTGAATCTGAGTGTCTCAAATGGGTGACAAAGGCCCAACCTCTTGAATCATATTCTGCTGCTTCTCAGGATTCATTAGCAGGAAGGTGGACCTGAAAGAAATTAGTAGGATCTAGACTGGTGCTCCAATATGAGATGTAGGCATCCCAAGCTATGGCTTACCCTGTTGAGATTCAATGTGTGCCCCTCAAATAGAAATGAATTTCAAAAATAAAAATGATATGGTGCCTAAATCTATGATGCAGCTTTCTCTTAGGAATTACACTAAATGATATTTCCAGGAATTTACAGAGAAGACCAATATCAACTAATATATAAACATTTTGAAGGATTTTGTCTTAAAATCACCTCTACATCAAAATATTTGCAACATTTATATTAATAACTTTCATGTTCGATCCATTCCTAATATTCCCCTTTTACTGGAGCTGCTTATCAGGACATTTGGGCAGCAAAAGTACATACTGATCAAATGTAATTATGCACCCGTAGTGCTGTGATAGTAGTAATAGAATTTTGATGAATCTGACAGAATGTAAATCAGTTGGTTTTACAGCTCAAAAGTATAAAAATACCTATCAAAACATTTATATGGAAAAATAAAGTCTTAAAGTTTTGGAAGTAAATAGATACAGATGTTAGTTGTTTTTGGGAAAATTGTCATGATACCCTTAAGAAAAAATATCTATTATGCACATATTGTTTTCCTTTGTGAGCTCCTTACTTACATCTTCTGGGCTGGGTGTTTCGCACCCAACACAAATGCTGTATAAACAAGCATGGTAGTTAAACTTTTGAGAATGAATGAAGATCTGGAAAAGCTTCCATCAATATGCAATAACACAACAATCAGAATCTCCAAGGAGTAATGAGATTTATTTGGGAACAGCAGAGCAGTGCAAAGGAGATATCTATGCTCTAACAAACGGTGAGTGTATTCAAGGAGACTGAATCAAGGCAAAGGTTTAAAGGTAAACAGGAAGAAATTTAAAGGTGCATTAGTGGAGGAGCCCTTGCTGGTAAACATTCTGTCCAGGACATGTCGTCTGAATTGTTGCGGTCTTGTAGAATGTCAAAGGTAAGTGTTGCAGAACTCTGTGCAGATGTGTGAGGCCTGCAAAGCACAGGGTGCAGAGTGAAAAGATTTTGAGTTGCCTTCTGTTCTTAAATGTATGCACTATAGATGGGATATAACAGCTAGTGAGATTATAGTATTGCTACTTTCTCCAGAAATATTTTATTACTATCAAATATTTACTATGAAGTTGTAAAGGACTGCTTTTAGTTTGTTTATTTTTTACTTTTATTTCTTCAAAACTATTTCAAATTCAAATTTATACCATAAAATATACTATATTTGAAGACAAACACAGAATCCTTGAAGAATTCATGTATTTGGTTCTTAAAACATAAAAAAGAATAATTTTGCATTAGATGCTTTAATGGAAAGTGTTAACTGCATTGAAGTAACAAGCTGGAAGCAGTCACCAGCTAAAGACTCAATGCTCTACTCCCTATGTTCTCATAGACACAGCCCTTCCACAATTATGACACACATTTCAATCCAGGATTATCTTCCAGATATCGGTATCTTGTTATTTGTTCACACAATGGAAATTATCAGTGTTTTCACCTTTGTTTATTTTTCCATAAATAATTTTAATACAAAATGCTACTAAGCCACTGCCCTGGCCCAAACTGAGATTTAATGCCTGAGTCATTTCATAAATGCAGAAATAGCTAAATATGAGTCTCAGGTGAGAGGCAGGGCTGATTTATAATGTATATGGCAATGATTTGTATTCTGTTCATAAGTGACATTCCCGAGCAGCTGTTGAAAGTTGGCACTCTCACAGGGCTGGCATTGTGGCACTGCCTGAAATACTGGTGCAAGTCCTGGCTGCTCCATTTCCAATCCAGCTCCCTGCTAATGGTAAGGAACCAGAGGGTGTGTGACAGGGTGGCTTGAAGTTTCAAATTTTCCCACAATGCATAACATGCCCAGTTGGTTATAAATTATCTTTGTTGCTTCAGAGCAGGAACTGTTCCTTTGAGAGAAACAGGTAGTAGATATCAGTCTGCTCATCCAGCTACAACTGGCAAATTTCTGGCTTCTGTACTTCTGCTTGCTTTCTTGATAACTTCAAAGGCCACCAAAATGCAGTTTCTGCCTTTAAAACCCCCCATCACTGAAAATCTTCTCTGGACTTGCTCTGTGAAAAGGCAGTCACCAGCTGGCTAATAAAGACTTCTAATTTGACCTCAAAAGTCTCACTGTGGTTTTTTTTAATTATTTATTTATTTATTTATTTGACAGGCAGAGTGGACAGTGAGAGAGGCAGAGAGAAAGGTCTTCCTTCTTCCGTTGGTTCACCCTCCAATGGCCACCACGGCAGTGTGTGGCAGCTGGCGCATCTCGCTGATCCAAAGCCAGGAGCCAGGTGCTTCTCCTGGTCTCCCATGGGGTGCAGGGCCCAAGGACTTGGGCCATCCTCCACTGCACTCCTGGGCCACAGCAGAGAGCTGGACTGGAAGAGGAGCAACCGGGACAGAATCTGGCACCCTGACCAGGACTAGAACCTGGGGTGCCAGTGCCGCAGGTGGAGGATTAGCCTAGTGAGCCGTGGCACCAGCCTCATTGTGTTTTTTTTTTTAATCTGTGTTCCCCATAACATTCAGTGAGTAGAACTCATTTTTTTATTTCCTCTGATATCTGGCCTGTTGATCGACCATTCTGGGGTTGTTGGAAGGCTGGATGCAGCACTACTTCCACAACCAGGTCTGAGTTTGAGATGTCATCTCAGACCTCTGATTTTGGTTGAGTTTAATTTGTGTAAGACTTCTGGTTTTGGTTAAGCCTAATTTGCCTAAGAGTCATCTTTGTCTATTGTTCATGTTGTGTCTTGTGTGCTCAGTGTTTTACTTGTTAAGGAAATGGGACAGGGGTATTCTCTTCCAGCCAACCCCCTGTTGGGTTTCTTCCTACAAAACTTTAATGATGTCAAAAACATGCACTTGGATCTTTCGGATATTATATAAATGCTCTTGATTTCCACAATTTTGTGAGCAAAAGTGGCCAGCCTTTAATGTTGGGTGGCCACTGGAAGGAACCACTAATCTCTTTATAGCTTTACAGATTCAAAGGGTGATTTTTGGAAAACCAGGTCTTCTTGGCCAGGCCACGTATATTGAGGTCTGGATGGATTTTCTATTCAACCCTCTAACATGGCTAAAAGCCAACCTGAAGAAACAGTTAAGGTCATCAAAAGGAAAGAGTGTTTTGGCAGCCCAAGGAAAGGATAAGTCACCCCTCCAGGCATTCCATGTCCACCAGAGGATTTAGATGTGCTAGACCCTCCTCCATATGAGACCCTGCTGATGACCTGACTGCCCTGACTCTTCCACTCCAACATCCCCTGTGGGCCTGTCGACCCTTGTAACTCTGAGGACCTTGGAACATCTTCAGTCCACTATCAGGGTCAGGAGAAGACCAGCTCTCCATTAGCCCTCTGCAAGCATAGAGTCGGATGAGGTGTCAGCTTTAGCCAAAGGTGCCAGAGGTTCTGGATTCTGCTCAACCCCTTGCTCCAGTCCTCCCTTCATGTCAGGTCACCTCTCCATTAGGGGAAGGCAGACCTCCCTGCATGGTCTATGTTCCCTTTTCCACTAGCTATCTGTATAATTGGAAACAGCAAAGCCCCTCTTTCTCAGAAAAACCACAGGGTATAATCTCTCTTCATGAGTCTATTTTCTTCACTCTCTGACCAACATGGAATGACTGCCAGCAGCTTCTTCAGACTCTTTTCACCTCAGAGGAGAGAGATTTCAGCTGCAAGAGGCCCAGAAATGGTTCTTTGGCCACAATGGACAGCCTTCTTCTGAACACATCAGACTGGAGAGGGTACTTCCCCTTAGATGCCCTGATTGGGACCCAAATGATGATAGAGGTAAGGAGGCTCTCAATCAGTATCGCCAGATTCTTATAAAGGGGGTACACACAGAAGCAAAAAAGCCAACTAATTTTTCTAAGGTAATTGAGACCATCCAAAAGCCTGATGAGTCCCCAGCACCTTTTCTTGAGAGCCTCTTTGAAGCATACTGTGTGTTTACTCCCATAGACCCAAAAGCCCCTGAAAATTGTCACACCATGAATGTGACCTGTATATCCCAGTCAGCCCCCAATATTAGATATAATTACAAAGATTGAAGGGGTTCAAGGAAAAGCTTCTTTCTGAATTGATAGAGGTGGCTCAATGGGTCTATAATAATGGAGATGACATTGTTACTGCCCAGACAAAATGATGGTCAGGGTTATGGCAGTGACCTTTAAAGAACGGGGAAGAAACACTGGAAGTCAGGCCAAATAAGGGCACACTAAGGCAAGATCACTCTTAAGAAAAGATCAGTGTGCCTTTTACAAGAAAGATGGACATTAAAAAATTGAGTGCCCTAGAAGGAAACAAGGAATAAAGATCAAAACATGAGCCAGTTTTGGTGGAAGAGGATGACTGGTGGGGCCAGGGCTCCATAACTTTAAGCCCCCAGGAGCCCATAGTCACATTAGAAGTATGGGGCAAGTCTATTAGATTTTTAGTAGACACCAGAACAACTCATTCAGTGTTACAAAAAAGGGAAGTACTAGTTATGGAGGAAAAGGCTCTTATTCAGGGGGCTACCAGAAAAACAAACAAACAAAAAAATACTCATGAATGAGGACTTGGATCACCAACCTGGCAAGGGGAACTGGATTGTCCGTATCCCTTGCTGGGAAGGGACTTGCACAGAAAACTGCAGGCCAGCATATCTTTCCATGGGGACTTGGCTGAACTGTATTTTAACTCAAGTCCACCCTCCACATTTTTTACATGACTCCAGTATGAGGAGTATCTATTGATGACAAGAACAGTCTGTTTAACTAAACACTATCTCCAGAGATTAAAAAACAAAATCCCTGATGTTTGGGCAGAGGAAATCTTCCTAGGCTGGCTGCCCACCAGCCCCTCATTGTTGTTCAGTTAACCAGCTCTGCTGAACCAATCCGGGTTCAACAATACCCAATAAGCCCATCGACAGAGGGATAGCTTTTCACACTGACATGTACTGAAAGTCAGGCATCCTCATTCCCTGACAGCATGGAATACACCTCTGTTACCCATCCAAAAGCATGGGACCTCTGATAACAGGCCAGTACAAGATCTACAGGAGGTCAACAAGTGAGTTGATAATATCCACTCCACAGTACCTAACCCATATATGCTTCTAAGTCTCTTGCCTCCTAGCCACCAGATGTACTCCATCCTGGATTTGAAGGATGCCTTCTTCAGTCTTCCTCTGGCCACAGTAAGCCAATCTATTACTGCCTTTGAGTGAACAGACCCTGAAAAGGGCTTCTGGGGACAGTTAACATGGACTAGATTGTCACAGAGGTTTAAAAATTCTGTACCATATTTGATGAGGATCTCTCAACACACCAGCTCTATGTTGGTCCCCAAGGGTCTCCTGGGTATAAGGGAATAAATCAAATGACTGTGTAGCTGACATTGTGGGACCATAGCAGACTGAACTGAGTCTACCTTATAAGCTTCTTCTGAGGACCCAAATAAAATATTGGCAAAAGTGCCAGTGTAATCCAATTATCAAAAAAGTAAAAGATGGACAGGCAAGGGGTGGGTAACTGGACACACTTGAGGACTTAGACTGTATATGCTTGGCTACAACCAGGAATAGAATTCACCATTCAATGTTATTCCCCAAAGTGATGCCTTAATCCCATTGGGATGAGAAGGGAGACAAGACCACAGTTACCACCTGCAAGGCTCCCTCCTGCTCCCCAGTCCACACCTGGCAACACTCCAGTCCTTCTGCCAACGTCATCCTTAACATCTGTTACAAGGAGGCCAACAAAGCAGATGGAGTTAAACATACCCTGTCATCCCCTACTGGGCATGCTGACTTCTGTTTTTACCTTCCTAAATAAAAGTAATCCTATTGCCACCTGGGGTTGTTGGCTATGTGTAAACCCAGAACCCCCTTATTACATAGGTGTGGGAACTAATGCTTCTGTGGACATTAATTCTTCTGAAATTCAGAACATCACTACCAGTCAAGCCCATCAATGAAACCTTTGCCAATGGGGAATATACCAAAACTCACCCTTGGCGATCTCCAAGGTAAAGACACCTGTCTACTAATTACAGGGTTTTGAGTCCAACACTCTCCCTATCGGGATTCATGTAGTCAACCTATGTCCTTGAATCCCTCCAGCCTTGGAGATCAAAACTACCATGTCGCCCCAGAGGGAACCTAGTTTGCGTGCACCATGGAAATTACCTCTTGCCTCTTGAAGGTGGGACTCAAGTCAAATCAGTCAGAACTATTTGTACCTGTACACATAATACCCCAAGTGTACTATTATTCTGGAGAAGGTAGAAGACAAAATCTGGGATTCCGCCACCAAGATAAGAGGGCTCTGGTACTGGTCCCTCTGCTGGTTGGATTAAGGATTGCAGTCTCCACTGCAGTTGGAACTTCTGCCCTGGTCACAGCTCAACACAATTTCAAGGCCCTAAGCAGGCAGGTGGATGGTAGCCTAATGGAGTTAAAAAAATCTATAACTCAGCTTAAATCTCCACTAGACTCCTTGGCTGAGGTAGCCCTACAGAATCAAAGGGGCTTTTATTCTCAAAGCAAGGAGGGTTATACATGGCCTTGGGAGAAACTAGCTGTTTCTACACTAACCACTCAGTGGTGATTAAAAACATTTTAACACTGGTTCAAAAACAATTTAAAAAATACAAAAAAGCAAGGGTAATTGGTACCAAAAGTTGTTCTCATGGTCACCTTGGCTGACAACACTTATTTCAGTGTTGGCTAGACCACTGACCCTTGTACTTAAAGGACTTCTTTTAGGGCCATGCATCCTCAATTGTCTCTCAAGGTATATTACTAGTAGATGGGATACAGTCAAATCATTAGTGCTCTGAATTCATTACTAACAATCAAGTCAGGAGGAAAAAGAAGGACTTCAAGGAGAGTCAATGGTTTGACTCCTAAGCAAAACCAGTGGGGAATGTGATAGGGTGGCTTGAAGTTTAAAATTTTCCCACAGGGCATAACATGCTCAGGTGGTTATAAGTCACCTTGTTTGTTTGCTTCAGAGCAGGGACTGTTCCTTTGAGAGAAACAAGTAATAGATACCAGTTTGCTCATCCAGCTGTAACTGGTAAATTTCTGGCTTATATACTTCTGCTTGCTTGCTTGATAATGGCCAAGGCCACCAAAATGCAGTTTCTGCCTTTAAACCCCCCATCACTGCAACTCAGGGTTCTCTTCTCCGGACTTGCTCCATGAGAAG